CACTAAAACGCTCATTTTCCTATGAAATCTTGTAACAAGATCTTACTGCATGATCTTACAAGATCTTGTCATTGAAAGATCTGACTATGCACTGTAAATGACCGTAAGGATACCGTATATAGGCGCTTTACGGTCTGGAATTATTCGAACGATAGCTTTGCTTTCGCCTAATTGATATTAGTTCCATTGTCCGATCACGTAAGCCGATCAAATCTTATAAGATTATGTGCCTGATCGTGTTCTATAAACTTCCTTTAGACCCTCTTAAAAAAGTATCTTTCTCTATTCATAATATTTTCTGGCATAGGCAGGACACAAACATTCTTAGAATCGTGTTTAACCACGTTCCTTATAGCCATGCACTTTATTTGAGCTTAGCTGATGTTTGAAGACGAAGAAAGAAAGAAATGCTAAGTTTTATCATAAGAACTATGTTTTATATATACTCAATATCACAGCAAAATTTATGTGGTAAGAATGAGTCATCGATTCTGGCAAGATCATATAAGATCTTATAACAAGAAATAGTATGATCTTGCGATAAGCAATAAATATAAGTCAGATCTTTCAATGACAAGATCTTGTTACAAGATTTCATAGGAAAATGAGCGTTTTAGTGCTGTAGTGTTCGATGTTCCAGCAAGCGTTTAAATTAATAGCGTTTTCACTGAACAACCTTCCACATCATGTACATGTTACGATTGAAAACTCACCGAAAATCTGAAAAAATTGATTTGACATGCACTCGATAGCTGGCGAGGGGTAATGATTCACTACACAATATTTTTACTCCTTCCTTACATCGTTCTATGAACAACATTTGCATTTATAACTTACCTTAATTCCACTTGAATTTTAATATCCGTACCATTTGCTTTACCTTTATTTGTCAGGTAAACATTTAAACTATCATATCGATCTATATTAGTTCCAAATGTGTTGTTTGTTGACATTGGATTTCATATACCATTGCAAGGCAATAGGGCAATAGTTGCTTTGAATTTAACTAACGATGAAAAATAACGAACACTTACTAATTGAGGATATGTTTTGCACAGGCGGCGTAACATGTTCGTAAATTTATGCCCACTGAAGGCATAAACGTAAAATTTCTTCAGACTATGCTTGTATAGTTTAGCATAAAAACCACTGGACAAACAACTTTTGTAAGATTTACCTGCGTTAAGAAGCTGAGTATGATTACTGCACTTTACTCTATCATGTAGGCGTGGGACAGTTCCCGTTCCAGTTACTAGTAACTGGAACTGCTCACCAGTTACCGTCCCCAGTAACAGAAACTGGTAACCAGTTACTGTTCCTTCAAATCACCATAATTTTACATCTCTAAGTGGATGTTTGTTGCTCTGTAATTTCTGTAAACAGTTAAAGGTGCTTCCCATAGTATAGGAACACTCACATTAAAGACTATAGAATAAGGATTTCCTATATTGTATTTCCAATAGTGTATTGTTTCTGTGGAAAACATGGCAGTATTGTCTGTGGGAATTGAGCTAGATGAGTTTATTATAGTATAAAAAACAAGATAGATGAGCATCAACTTTTCTACATCTTGATTATGAAGAAAACAGTAAGTGGTCACCAGTTACAGTTACTGGAAACGGTAACTGGTGAACAGTTCTTTTAACCAGTTACTAAAAACAATAGGAACTGGAACTGTCCCACCCCTGCTATCATGATCATAGCTTTCGTTTCAAATTTTTCCAAAGGAATAAAACTTCGAGGAAAAAAATAGCACTTTTTCACAAGAAGAAGAAATGGGGAATAAAAAAAAATTAAAACTCTCCACTGGTAAAACAAAATTTACTTCCAGGAATAAATCAGTTTAGAGTGAGACCCTCCAAGATTTTAAACTTGACTTCAATTCCAATTGCATTTGACAGATCACATAAGAATGCACGAGAAGAATCATTTTTCGCACTTTCTCATCCTGCCACGATGTGATTGAGAATTTCAGTTGTACACCAAATGCCTTTATGTTGATGTCTTCAAATACCTTTTTGGTCAAAATCAGCTTTTGAGATCACGAGAGGGTTAGAAAGTGCGAAAAATGATTCTTCTCTTGCATTCGTTTACAATTTACAACTTTAATATGGAAAAAAACGTCTATGAAAATAATTACGAAAGGAAGCACTTTTTCTCCTTAGCCGTTAGATCCATACAGCTGTTGGGGACAATCACGGGTCGTATCACGAAAAAACTTAAGTTTGAGGACTTAAACCGTATTAAGAAAGACTTAAGCTGGCGATTTGTTTACTTTTTAAAAGTCGTTGACAACAGTGACGAACTTGGGACAAAAACCCGCAAAATGCTAAAATATTTATTCTCTACTCAGGTCGATTGTTCGGCCGCCGGAACCGATGGGTTTCGTTGTATTTCGTCGTCGTTCTGGTCGTTCCCTGTATGTTCCGACGTGTTCCTACCACCGGATTCCGTCGGGTTTCCGGCTCGGAAAATTTCGACGACTTTTTCGACTGGAACTGGTCGGAATACGTGGGAAACAGAACGGAATCTGCTGCAGGAACAGTCAGCCGGAATCCAGTTGCAAGGAACACGCCGGAACATAAAAGGAACCGGGCGGTTCCGACCGGGCAAGAATGATCTTGGTAATCCTTAGAATGTCGTTTTCGTCGAATCGTATCGTTAAATGCCTGGAGACCGTATCACGAAAAAACTTCAGTCAAAGTCTAGACTTAAGTATATAAAATTAGCACGTAAGTGCACATAACGAAGACTTAAGTTTTTTTGTGATACGGTTCCCTGAGCTATTCGAAAAATGCGTCAGTGACTTAAATCCGAATTAAGTTTTCGGTCTTTACTTTAAGACTACATTTCCCATGACTTAAGTCACTTTTTGACTTAACTTTTTTTGTAATACGGCCCCCCCAGTATTGTCCAAACAAAAAACAGCACCGAGTCCCATGGAGATCAACAGCAGAAGCGCAACTGTCGAAATTCCATGGAAAAAGGGTAACATTCGTATTAAATATACAAAAGTTACAGATCATAGGGACGACGCCCACATAGTTCGTTCCTCTACAGCAGCCCGTTGGCTCAGGTAAGATGTTCCTATATGCTGTTGTACATTTTTTACAATAAAATACTTTGGCTCCAGTTTCTATCTATAACATAGTAATGATATGACCATCTTAACCTTCCTTTTTAATTTATGACTGCAGAAAAATATCATTAATTGTATTTGAATGAGAAGTGCTTGTGGCAAACTCGTGAAAAAATTTGGTAGAAAAGAAAACAAAATATGTATTTTTATTTTAAGTTTTAATTATCGAAACCTTGATATTCCAAAAAGCTTTACATTCAATAATTAGTATGTATCTAAATAATGTCTATCATATAATTTTAAATATCCTAGAGTTTTAAGGCATATCAAATGGTTTTTTAACGGTAATTAACATGAATAAGAAAAATTGAAAGAAAACGTAGTAGTAAGAATGAAATGTGTGACAGATACTGTTAACATATTTTATATAAAATTGAAAAAGAGATGAAAAAAAAGTAATATAAACCTCATCATTTTCATAGACAAGAAAAAGGTAGATCGATTGATAGATGTTTTGAGATTATTACCAGCAAGCACCATAACAAAATAACAAAATATTTTTATAAATCACAAGGTAGTCTTTTACTTTATATGCTCAAAGAAAAAATATCAGAAACACAACTCTATATAAATAAACAAACCAACCTAACTGTCAAATAATTATATTCAAAAATACAAACTAAAACTTATCATACACTTGATTTTTCAATTCAATTGCGAAGTGTTGTTTGTTTATTTTTTTTTCTCCATTTTAATATTGATTTATTTCAATCTGATTCTATACGATTATTATAAACTGATGACAATAAAACGATTTAAAACGATATAAAATAGAAATATCTTAGTTAAGTATCATTTGACTTGTTATTGATATATTAGTTTGTTTAAAAATAGTTTAGAATATTTTGTTTTTTTTGTTTATTAAATATAAATTTCGTTTTCTATTTAACTCTCATCATGATCGATTCTATAACATTCATCACTCCCTATGTTTACGTTGGCGGTCAAACAGCAGCTCGTGCTCTATCCAATATCTATTTGAATGGTATCCGTTGTATTATTAATGTTGCTCGTGAATTACCACACGTTCAATATCCTTCACATATTGAATCAATTAAAATTAATATTGATGATGTATCAACATATCATATTGAAAAATATTTTGATAAAATTGCTGATAAAATTCATCAAAATGAAACTATAGTTAAACGAAAAACATTAGTTCATTGTCAAGCAGGTATGTCTCGAAGTGTAACATGTGTTATTGCCTATTTAATGAAATATAAACAAATGTCATTAATCCAAGCCTATAATTATGTTAAATATAAACGACAAATAGCTAAACCTAATTATGGTTTTTGGAAACAATTACAAACATATGAGAGAAAATTAATAAAACAAAATAATCAAACAATAACGAATAAATTTCAAGCTATTATTTATACGATAAAAACAAAATTAAATAAAATTTTTTATGTACAAGATGACCATCGATATAGGATACAAAAAATTGTCTATATTCCTGCTCGATCAATGTTTTATCCATTCATAAAATATTAATTAACATGAATTTTATTTAAGAGAGTATATATTACATATTAACCATTTATTTTTGAAAAAATATGTTCAACAAACAAAATCAACACTTTCTTCATGTACATAGAGATCTTTACTTATTTTTTTATATGTTTGTACAAAATAATTACATGATGATTGAAAAAAGAGAATATCAAGAACTATTATCAACGAAAATGATTCTCATCTATGTTTTTACATTGATCTCATCTTTAAAAAATCGAGAATCTATGAAATTACATCTATTTTTTAGAAAAATCTGGAAACAATTGGAATAAGACGTCCACAATATACAATGATTGTTAAAAAAAAAACAAAGTGGTATATAAATTATTTTTCTACCCATTATTGTAGAAAAGGTGACATTTATTGATATACCCCTTGGAGAGAATATTGTGACTACTGTAATAAACATAAAAACATAAATGATCTATTAGGTAAAATTTAAAAAAAAAAACGAGGTCATTTTTTTATCACATTCAATATTTATTGCCATAAAGAGAAAATATCAATACTTTTTGTAGATATTTTTTTGTTTTTTTGTTGGTTTTTTTTTTTTTTTTGTTTAAAATAGATAAATACATATACACATACTGACAATAAATAATAAAAAACAAATGTAACGAGAGACTAGACTGAAATAGAAGTAAAACACATTTTTTTACTATAACACTGTTCGATATATTCACATTAAATTAATTCATAATCTCCTTGACCACCACCACTACTATGTTGTTTTGTTTCACCTAAAAATGATTCTAAATCTCGTTCATCTTTATCATCATCATTTTTGTCGTTATGTGACACTGCTTCATTTAATGACATAGATTTTAACATTTTTGTGGCAGTTGTTTTCTTACTCTTCTTTTTCTTTTCATCGGATGATGATAGATCTTGTTTCGATTTTTTATGATGTTTTTTCTTAACGGAAGAATCAACACTGCCCTCCTAAAAAAACAGTGTAACACATTTTCCATAGGATATATGACTAAACACTACGTTCTTTGAAATAAATAATTGTTTAATACAGTTAACTGAAAAAGTAATTCTCGCAGAGTTTAAGACAAATTCTGCAAGACATTTTTTAGCGGGAGATGTCTGTATGAATCCGCGAGAACCTTTTCAAATGATTAAGAACTCTTGAAAATTCTTGATGATGATCACGAATCTAATATCTACTTGTAACCATATTGAGTTTCTGATTTAGTCATTAAAAGTCTGACCTCTAGAGAACCATCCCGAATCTAAAAATCAAGAGATTCTGATCTGACTAGTTTGTAGAGCTCATAAAAAGTTTTGAAACTACTGAACAAATTTTAATTTGAGTTATAAAAATTTTAAAATATTCAATGAAATAATCGTAAAATTTTTATAATTTGTTCAATGCTTCTAAAACTTTTTACACATAGACAATTCGATGAGTTATAAAAAGTGGTCAAATCAGAATCTCTTGATTCTCGGATTCGAGCTGGATCTCTAGAGGTCAGATTTTTGAAAACTCAATAGGGACACAGACGAACATCAGATCCGTGTTTACCATCAACAATATCCGTAGTAAAACGAGTGTTAATTACCGGAAAGTTGCCTTTGTATCGTAATGTAGAATAAAAAAGTTAAACTGGCCTACTTGAGAAGACGATGTTTTCTTTGATTTCTTCTTTGTTGATCGTGTTTCACTTGTTACACTTTGAGAATCTAAATATATCATTGTCAATTCATTCATGTCTTACTTATAGTAAAACAATCAATTTTTCTCTTACCTATTGTTTTAGTATTCGATCCTTCTAATGTCGATTGTCTTGAAAATGATGTCATTTTATCTAGCATATCTAAATCAGATGATGTGAAATTGTAGATGGGCACAACAGGAGCGCTAATTGTTTGCGATGATTTTGGATTAGGCTAAATAGGAAAAGCAGAATCTATTAACAATACTAAATATTGAGTAAACAAATATTTACAATTACCTTCGATTGTGGTTTCGTAGATTGAACATTTTTATCTTCTTCCTCTTCTTCTTCTATTTCATCATCACTAAAAAGAATAAAATTGTCTTTAATAATAGAAACTGACCAATTAGCAAAACAAACATTTTACAGAGTGGTATTTATTTTTTTACTGTCTCATCGCATTGATAATCTGATCAGGATTAAATATGCGCTCTATGCAGGTCCAAGATTTTCGGTAGCCAAAATTTTTGTTGAAGGGTGAGGTGAAGTGATACGAATTTTCTTTTTGTGGTAGATGTCTTTGATAACATTAAATTCTATTTCTGTTTTACTGATTCTTGTATCTATGAGATTGACCTGCCCATGTAATACGTGATTCCATCACGATTTTTGTTGTTTTGTGACTAACTTGGCGTTCGAACAAAAGGAAACTAAGGAACTGTTTACATCTAGCCTTGTACAGAAAAGTGAGCTGAACAAAATGAGATATTTTCTGATTCCGCAGAGTGTCGTGGTTCTCAGTTACAATAAAAGTTTTACGAGTCCCATTTTGGCGGACTTTTGATTGGGGCTCGTAAAAATTTTGTTATAATTGACGGCTACGATATTCTCCGAAAATGAAATATATCACATTTTGTTCAGCTCACTTTTCTCTACAAGGCCAGATGCAAACGGTTCTTTAATTTCCTTTGGTTCGAACGCCAAGATAGTCACAAAACAAGTGACGGAATCACGCGTTACATGGACAGGCCGATCTCATAGATACAAAAATCAGTAAACCAGAAACAGAATTTAATTTTATTAAAGACATCTACCACAAAAAGATAATTCATACCACTTCACCTCACCCTTCAATAAAAATCTTGGCTACGGCCCCAATCAAAAGTCCGCCAAAATGGGGCTCGTAAAACTTTTATTGTAAGATTGTGAGAGATTGTTTTCTGTGCATAAACGTTAAAAAATCCACTGATAATATGAAAAAAAAGTGAAACATAAATTCTGTATTTAAGCTTTTTATAAACTATTGAACAAAATTATTTTTTTAATAATTTTAGGAGAAGATAAGTTTTCATATTTATTTTTCTTGTCTACGTTGACTCTCTCTACTAGTTCGGTCTTCATTTCATGTTTTGTCTTTTAATATTTATCATCCATATAGATATCATGACATCTATTTTGCATACCTTATTTTTTGACTATTCGTTCTGACAATATCGAAATTTGTCGTATTCTGTTGTTGTTGTTCATCATCCGAATCTAATTGCTCACGAAAACCGACAACCATGGGATTAATATGAGGTGTTTCATTCTCACTAGAAAATAATAAACAAAATGTAATACAATACAAAAAATGAATATAATTATCATTTACTCATCCGTTGTTGTTGATAATTTATTTTGTTGTGTTTGTGTCGAGTATGTTGACGGTGATTTTATCATTGATGCTGGATCATCAACAAGGAATGTTTCGTATTCGTTGTCATCCGGAATAAAATCATCGACAGTTGTCTTCACTAAAGGATTAAAATTATTTATTGTATTGTCTGTGATATCAGACGTTGATTCGTCAGGTTGAGCTATAAAGAAAGCAAATATAGCACGATCTATCTATCGATTGGAATTTAAAATGTGTACGGATTCTCTTTTACGTACGATCGATAGTTAAATTTTTTTGTATTTGTGGTTGTACAGCTTGCATTGGTTTTTGTTTCATCGTATTTGGTGATGATTGTACCGTGGTTGTTGTCGGTGTATGACGTATAGTCGATTCATTTTTTCTTGTTAAAGTTTGTACGATTCCATTAAGAGCTGGAGGAATAATTTTTCCACTTTTTGCAGCTGCTTCTTGTTGTTGTTGTTGTTGAATTAATAAATTTTCGTTGTAAACTTTCTTTGCTTCTTCAAGTGGTTTCGCCTGTTTTAAAATATCTCCAGCTAATTGTTCTTGTTTGATACGACGTTTTTGAGTCAATTGATCTAGAAAAATTTGATGTATAGTTAATGAACTCTATACTATAACTGAGTAAATTAATAACTGTGACAGATATTTTCCTACCCAGAAATACTTCATAATTATTTTCTTGTGATTGTTCGTATGCATCTATTTCTTCTAATGTTTGATCCATATCTCGTGCATTAACTTCTAATTGTTGAAGTAATGCTTCACGCTGAAGTTGTAAATAAGGAATATTGAAAAATTGGTAAATATATTGTAATCCAAAACCGTTACGCATCGATGATTCACTGTATTTTAAAACACTGCCCATTGTGCCTCTAAAACAAAAATAAATCATGTAATATTCAAATTTCAAATATTTCATAAGAGAAAAAATAAAATTAATATTTCGAAGAAAAAAAAATGAAAGAATTGTATTGAATATTTCTTTCTAATAATAAATTTTGTACATCTCTTCTATGTAAAGTAAATGTCCATTTAAATTTCACATTTTATTTACAAAAGAAAAACATTAATTCAAAAATTAATAGTTGAATCAAGTGAATTAGATATTTTAAATGATAATTATTCTCTATTTTTGATTCATGTTAAAAATGTATTAAAATATTGTCTTCTTTTTACAGTTTTTCTACTTGTACTCGTTTTGAGACAAATGTTATGTGTTGCGTCTACTGACAGTTGTGAACATTGTTTTCTCCATCGTACTGATGATAATGTATATTCATATTTTGAACTCCGAGATAATAATTAATTGTAAATAATTGTTTTAAAATACACGTGTACAACATAATTTTTTAATAATCGAATAATCAGACATCTCTTTTTATTACTAAATAAAATTCAAATTTCAACTTTCAATGAAAATTATTTTATCATTTTATATGATCTATCTAATTTGTTTATCTATTCATTCAATGGCTTTAGAATCAATAAAACTTACACCAGTGTCTTCAGTATAAATAAGAACAATAAAAAATCGCACATAAATTCAAATATTTTAATATGGCAACAAGTCCTATCAATTCTTATTATTTAATCTTTTTGGAGTAGTTCGCGAACATCTCACCCAGTCACTCCATTATTCTTCTTGTTCACTTTAGTGTTGATTATTACAATAACTAAGAGAGACTGTGATGAATCTCCATGATCATCACAATGTCGCAGCAATCAGTATGAATCATTTATATCTATTCACTCACCACACAAGGACAAAGACATTTTTTAGCTATAAAGCTCCCCATTGTCATCAGGTCTGTGTGATGTAGTTTCAACCATAACTCTATATAACAGCCTAGTTTTTCTCATTTATATACTTTTTCCATTGTTTTAGTGCATTAATAAATGCCCAAAGCCACTAACTAACATCTTTGTCACGGATTCGATAAGCATGAAGAATGAGCAAATATTACTGACAAATTATTCTGTCATTGATGATGTAAATGATTAAAATAAATTCTATTGTGTCCCATCTTATTTATAGTTACATCAGCTGAAAAACTATAATCATCATTCCACTCTTTTACTTTGATACATCAAACGGGAAGAGAAATCTATGAAAATTCTTATTTAGAATTAATGACAGTAACAGTCAGTAATGGTAACATCGATGATTAATTTAACAGAAACAATAATTTTTACCTTAAGAAAAATAGAAAATAATGAAAGTTTTAGTTTGAAACAAACTATTCAAAATTGCCAAAAATACTGAACAACGACAACAACATCTATAAATATAATACTATCAACGATGATGTAATACTGAGAAGAGTGTATGATTTGTTTGTAAAATGTATTTAATATTTGATTTTTTTATCTCTTATAATGATGAGAAATATCTCTACAAATGGTGAGATAAACAAAAGTAAATAATTAGACTCGAACTTTCTAGAAAAGAAAGAATTAGAGACGATTCAACGTAAAAAAAACGAATAATTCGATTTTCAGCGCGAAAATCACCATAACGTTTAGGATTAAAACATGATGCACTAAATGTCGAGTAATTATTTCATTTTAATAAAAAATTCAAAATTTTCTTCAGAACGGTGTTAAAATTAAATGTAGAACGAGAGAGGAAGAAAAGAGAATATCACTGTTGGATAATAACTATTCTTTTCGATCAAAGGAGTCGAATCAGGAAGTAAACTTGAAAAGATAAACATTGTTTACATCGAAGTAGAAAGCATTTGACAGCCGTACGATTAGTTTTTGTTATTTTAAAATTCTATTTTAATCTTTCTCAATAACTTTGAATACTTTTTGTCAGTTTTTTGAGTGATTTTGAGAAAATGTAGCTTAAATATTTTTCTTCAAAATGGCAGTCAGGCAAAGTTTAGCCAATGATGACACAATAAACTGGAGAAATTTATTAAAGAACAGCTACTTTTTTTTACTATTAAAGTAGCTTATTTCTAGAGCATTGTATCCCTTAACTGAGTCCTCGGCTAAGCTTTCTCTGACTGTCATTTTTTTGCAGAACAATGTGTTAAGGTGGGCGATCCTTCTCTTCCATTTTAAGATATGTTGTAGAGCTCGTCGAGTTACATATACCCTGAATTTTTTTTCGATTGAAAATATTTATCTCCTGAGTTGTAGGGTTTTGGGCTTCCTTCTCCTGACAGAGTCTGCTGAAGAAACAAAAAGTAGTCTCAAAAAGTTCTTGTCAAATTTTCTGGAAAAAGTAAGCACATAGAAAGGAACGTTCCACTACTAACGACATTCGTCACATCTTGCTCTGTAATAATAAGCCATTTTTCGCTTTTTCAGCTTAAACTTCTTTTATAAAAATAAAAAAAGAGTGAAATTTAAAATTAAAAAGTTTTTTAAAGTCAATTTACTTTAAGACTTTTCCCACTGAATGACATAAAAGAAAATCTTACGGGCACCCTTCACTATATGGGCATCATTTTTTCTTGTGGAAGTTGTTTTCTCAGAAAATTGGACTCTACCTTTTCGAATATAGATGTGTGATACATGTGTGACTACAGGCTTCAGTGTCGAAGAACCGAAGAAAATAAGTGTCAGTTAGTAACGAATGCCATAATCTCAGTAGCGCGATTCTGTATAAAATTATAGAGGGTTCCAAGAATGGACTGTTGACCATAATGGACTATGGATCATATACGACACTCCTGCACAACAACGATATCTTCTACTTATCTTCTGTGTCTGAGATAGAACTATCAAAACAGCCACTATCACACAATTTTTCGTCCTGTCACAAATTTAAAATTCTTCTAACTTATAAGGGAACCTTTCGAGATGTAACCTTCCGATTCCAATGGTTTATACGTGGATCGATAAACCTCGGTGAGGTAGTAAATACTCTAAAAGAATTTGTGCCCATCCCATGACTCTTGAAAACCCGGTTTTCAAGAACTCTAAAAAGTAATTTAAACCTTTTTTTAATGAAGTTTGATTGTAGCTCGCAAATTGTTGATTAAAATGAGACATCTCCCAGCTCTTCGCCACCTTTCTTTACAAAGTTATCGAATTTATAAGAAAAGCCCTAAATTCATTTCTTCTTATTTCTGTAGCTTTGAGTTGACAATGAATATTTAGGGCTTTTCTTGTAAGATCTATAACTTTGCAAAGAAGGATCGTGCAGACCTGGGAGATGTTTCATTTTAATCAGAAAATTACGAGCTATAATGACGTCTGATTAAAAACAGTTTTTGGTTACTTTTTAGAGTTCTTGAAAAACTGGTTTTCCAGAAAACCGGATCTTCAACTGTCAATCCTTTTAGGGTATTTACTACTTCACCGAGGTCTATCGAACCATGTACAAATCATTGAAATTGGAAGGTTACATCTCAAAAAGTTTCCTCGTTAGCCAGTATAATTTAGATCGAATGAGACAAAAAAACAAATGTTATCTTACGCCAATCTTCTAGTTTTTAAGGTACCGAAAATTCAATAATCAAGCAAAATTTTTCGTTTCTTTTTTTGACATGGTTGAGTTAAAGCTCATCTTCATTATCTTCATATAAAAATGTTTTTATCAAGAAAAAGAATAAAATCACAATGCCAACCAATATCGACTCTTATCATAATAATAATCTTTTCGTAATTCATTTCAGCGCTCAAATTCTTGCTGTTGTGAAGGGTGCACTATCCTTTTCCGTAAATGAATTCTTATTATCTCTTTTATTCACTTATAATTTTGTAATCTAAAATATTTCATTTTTAAAATCATTTCAAATTATCAAGAATATGCTTAGATTTTATATTTTTATTTTAATTCTCTTAAAAGTTATGCTATTTGCATATAATACGTGTAAATATGAGATACAGATTGGTTCAAAAAAAGTACGATGTTTGGATAAGGAAAGAGATGTAAATTGTTTAACTCATGTAGATCCTACAGATTTTATTCTATCAGGTGATGTGGATAGTTGTTCGGTGACCAGTTTAATATTCAATTTTACATTATCATCAAAAATGTTTACATTTTTAAATAATACATCTGCAGCAAATAGAACAAAATTAGGTAATTTATTTAAAAATGGAACGGGACAAAATAAACTAGAACTTTTAGTGTATAAACAAGATGAAACACGAATGATACTGGGTTTGAATTTAGACAATTTAATATCATTAAAATTTATTGATGATTTGACCATTTATATTCGACGACTGGATAATGGTAGAAACGATAAGTTTTTCCTCATTACTTGATATTCTCGATTCTAATTCTGGATTTGAACTTTTTATTATAGTTTCTACAAATGTTTTACATTTAAATGATGAATTTTTTAATCTTTATCTAAATTTGCCGCGAAATATTACCATCTATTATTATTGTAGTAAAATACAATCAACTGCTATAGTGTATGGAAAACATCTATCAGTAACAGATGTAGTAAAAATTTGTAATAATGTTTACTATCGTTCAACACCAATTGAATGTCAATTTAAAGTTGATAGTTCGACATGTACAACTATAGATAATTTAATTGATTGTTCAAAAATAAAAGATCCAAAAGAAATTAAAGTTGTCGTTAAAAATGGAACAATTATCGAAAATAAAACGTGTCATGTTCGATCATTAACATTAGCATTTTCAACATTAAAAACATATACTGAATTTTTAAATCTAAGTGAATAAAAGTATTTTTTATCTCTAGAAAAATAATTAATTTCATTTTCGTTCTAGTTCCTGATATCGAGACACCAACAAGTATCATCTTAAACACTCTCTATCTTGATTATATTAATGACTATCAATTAGATGAAAAATTAGTAATGCAAGAAAAAACATTACATGTAAAAATTGATCAATTAAATCAAAATGAATTCATTCTTGAAACTTCTGATTTATTTGGAGGTGGTGTTATACAACCATTAGAATTTTTCATTGAATTCATAGATAAGAAAGATCCACCTTCTAAAATTATTATCAATGAAACCATTATGAAATTATTGGCAAAACTCAAAATTATGGCACCATGTGACAGGTGAACCAATTTGTCAGCGTAACCGTAAGGATATAAGATTCATAAACAATTTGTAAGACTAATAATAGTTATAAGACACGATGCGGTATTTTATAGAGAAGATTGGATAGTGAGAGTGAGTGAATAATAAACAGTTTTAATGTGTCTATGTACTGTATAGTCGCACTGAAATTTGCTAACCATTTTAGAAAAGTTGAAAGTGGAAGAAAAGAGAATGTTGAACGTAGGATAGAATATACCTGTCCAGCTCGTCTTCAGTATATCCCTCCCTCTCATTTTCCAAAAAAAAATAATAATAATAAAATTCAGTTTTAGAATAGCACGTAGTTAAGCACATAGTCTTTAAGAGTACATTTTTGTGAATTTTAAAAATTTTTCTGTAAGCCCTGAAGGAAAAAACCCTCTAAAAAAATTGCCTCTGTACCCTTAAACTTGAAAACGTAGCCATCACATACGTTCATATAGGTGCCGAGCGTACAAGTATCTAGTATCTGTGGTAAAAATATGAAGTCAAACGGATAAATGGGATAAGTTTATGTAAAATGAAAAATCTACTTAAAAAATGGCTTTGGAGGTTAAGATAAAAAATATGCTTATTTTATCTTTTAAAGACAAGCTCTGATGAAGGATTCTCTGCGATTTTATCGTTACAATCCTGTAACAAGGTGAAAAATGAGGGAATATTTTTAGGTGAGTAACTTTTGAACTTGTCAACTATATTTGGCTTAAATGTCATCTCGCTAAAACATCCGTTAATCTTTTTTGAAATGTGGTTATTTAACGTTAAAGACAAGTTTTAAAGAATAACGCATTCAGAAACAGAAACATCTAAGATATCATAATGCAGTCAAGGTACAGAACGTTTTTTTGATATTTATCGAGAGATCGTGGGCATACCGCAAACAAGATGATATATGTATAACACGTGTTATACCTTTCTTTCATACATCATGATTAACTAAATATATAGAGACGTGTCAACCGATAAATTGTGTGCACCGCTGCCAATATCAAGTCAAAAACTTTTGAGATGCTGCTTAGACGCGGCAGCAGATTGAAAATTTTTTTTGGAAACAACACGCTCGGTTTTCCTCAAAAGTGTTTTTGTTGCCTGGACGTTCAGAAAATCTTTGCTCCGTCGCTGAAGGCAAATAAAAGTTTTCAGATCCATAGCCACCACTGCCATATCTTAGCTGGCTGTCACCAGCCAGAGAATCGACTAACACCTCTAATTATATATGTCATCTATTTATCGATCTCTGAATATCGTATCTACTTCAGTAAATGAAAACATTAATGAAACACAACATAGAGTAGTTGTTGAAACTTTTTCCAGTTTCAAAAAATTCCAAAATATCTGCCTGATGAAAGAAAGCTACACCATGATCTCATTCTAATTGAAATTTCTTATAGATAGAATATCTTTAGATATTGTACACGTACGCTCTGGTATTAGGATGTGTTTATTCTATAGTTATTTGTTTTAGTATAAAAGAGAAAAGAACGACAACTGTTGTTGTCTATGAGCAAACCTGTTTAGCAGACAAATGCAATAAGAGCGGTGGTGCCAATAAAGATTGTAAAAATATCAAGAGAAGGGGAAGCGATATCGATGACAAGAGTATAGAAGCAGAAATAGACTCTGAATCGAGAAAAACAAACAATAAATGTATGACTTTCTGTTTGAAAAGTGCTTAATCTATACTACATGAACATCATTTTTTGTTTTCTTTCTAGTTTTATACTATTTTCTAGTTTGTGGAGGGAGTATTCTCTTATTAATTATTGTTGGTAGTGTTATCTATTTTCGAAGAAAATTAGGTAAAACTTTCGATGTAAACGATATAAAAACGGTGAATCAATCAGAAACAGGTGTCAAAGATACATCGTCGTTTGGTACTCCTGAAAGTGAAGACGCAGTGACAGAAACAGGCACTGAAATATAAATAAATAATTAGCAACTAGTTCATAATATGAACAAAATTTTTTGTACCATCTTTTTTTTTTGTCGATGATTTACATCGTAATTTTGTGAAATTATATAGTTTGTATATAAAGGTTAATAAACGAGCAAAATGTATATCAAACAAATTTTGTCCTTTAATAACAATAGTGTACATATTCTCGAATTAACCACATTAAAATTATTAAAATTTTATAAAAATGAATGATTAACATGTGGAAATGATGAAGATAGGGGACGATAATTGAAAATCTAACGAAAAACTTTCTTTAATAATATTTTTAAAAATAATAAATGAAGTTGTCTGTAAGTGTGACTATGAGTGAACAAAGTATAAAAGAAATTTTGGGTGAAAATAACGATTTTTATCAGCTGTATACTGAATGAACGATTTACTTAAAACAATATTTTGTCACTTACATTCTCTAGTAACATAATTTTAAAATTGTTTCAGTATGAAAACGTGGAGCTTGACATTTTCGCAAAACTTTATCAAAGATCTAACGGTTTACAGACATATTTTGAAGATTTTATTCAAGTGTTTTCATTTCAAAGTAAACGTTAAATTCGTAATCTACCCAAAAATAATACAACATTCACTAACAGATATCTGACAAATCTTTCTAAAATACAAACAGATCATCGAAAATTTTCTGTGCAGGATATTCTTACATATGTTTGAAATAAAAGGAATATTTTGAAGAGAAAATTCTTAATGGATAATTGATAACAATCAAAAATTTCACCAAAAACTCCATAAAAACTTTGCTCACTTCTGATCAACTTTGAACAGATATAAAATATAACATGTGATAGAGCTTAAAATTCTGATTCTAATACGCTATTTTTGATTGTTCATAACTTTTAATCTTCATGAAGAAAAATGTCTGAGAAAAGAGTCTATTTTTCACATTATCAGGGTGTTTTTGGAATATCTGTATGGTACGTACACATTTTAAACTTTTCATTTCATATTACTATCAAATAGATATTTTTATGGAAATTTTAGTTCTCTATTTATTTCCATATATAGAAAAAATCGATCAATTTCGAAGAGAAGAGAAAGAGATTCATGATCAAAATCGAAAATGTCGATCTCATTAAAAAACGACAAATACAAAAAGAAGTTTTTCAATAAAAAACAAAAAGTTGATCTGTATGTACACTGAGATTTAATCGATAGTACAACATGATCTTTTCAAAGGGATGCTGATATTAAACAACATTGTTTTCTAAAAATATTTAGTAACATCATCTAAAATGTGCTCAAAAGAAGATTCTTAAACTGAACTATTTTTCATAATAAATTTTTTTTTCTATTGGCGCCATAATTAGAATTATTAAGTCATTTTAAAAAGAAATCATTTTATTCAAGTTACTCTACGTTTTTTTCTTCATTATTCTTATATTTAAGAAAAATGTTTACTTACTTTAAAAAACTTCTTTTTCTATATTTCTTCAATTTATCAAATGGTACATGTGAATTTAAAATTCAAGATAATGAAAATAAATTTTATCCATGTTTGTATGATCGTATAGCCGATGATAAATATAAAGTCAATTGTACAACTGTCAGATACAATTTTGGACTAGAAGGATTACTTAATATTGATCCTTGTTCTTTCAATGTCACTGGTAATATTAATGAAAAATGTCTAATTCAAGAGTTAACATTCAAATTTCTATATACAACGGCACTTATGAATTTTACTACAACCGTTGATGAATTTTTTGATAAAAATAATACAAATAATAATAAATTAATACTTTTTATTGTTGAACATAATTCAGATCTAATAATTGGTGAACAACATTTTCAACAATTTATACCAAATTCATTAATTAATGATTATTATTTAAATCTATACCGTGATAATAAATTTAAATTTAAATTATATCTTGATATGAATTATATAGATACACATGGTCCAAAACAAATTCGAGTACAATATTATTGTAAAAAACAGGCAACAATTATTTACGACAAACAACAAGGTAATTGACATATGTTAATTTTCTATAATATAGTCTTCTTCAACAATCATATTGTACAAATTATTATCGTACAATTTTAATCATCTAATAGAAAGAAATTCTTTAAAAAAAAAGAAATAATTATTTCATTGTTACACGATTTTAGGTAAACGTGTTGAATGTGAAAATGTTGTTTTCAGAGATTTATCATTCACTTCATCACAATTTCCAACAATAAATTCGACTAATTTAATTACGCCTAGAATAAAACATCCTTTAAGTAAAACAAGGTTAATATTGCTCATTTTTGGTGGTATAATTATTTTTTTATCTTTAATGAGCATTCTTATTATATTATCAATAAAAAAATATCGTCAACATCATCGGATATTAAAAAATGGGAAAACTGGCGATACACCGTCACCATCATCTATCGATTAATATCACAATTATCATTGTCAATTTTTATTAAGCAGCGAGAATAACAGAAGGAACTGTCAATAACTTACGTTTCGATAATGCAAATCGAATTGTTTAAAAAAAAAAATTTTTGTTTCTGTATAAAATTTTTTTTAAATAAATTATAATGCAATTATCAATCAGAAGTTTTCTATACAAATGAGAAAGTTTTCTTTTTTAAAGTTTCACATAACTTTTATTCATATTCATCTTTGATTATGCATATTTAGGAACACAAAACAAACTAGTCCACGTAAAAGTCCTATAACTTTTTGTGAAAATCATAGCTCTTCAGCCGAGAAATGTATAGAGCTAGAGAACGTCTCATTTCATAACTTAAAGTTTCTTCTTTCAGATAATAATTAAACAAAGGCTAGCAGCTGACTGGTTTAAGTGACATAATGCTTTTGGTATATATCACTTTCGGACAAAGGGGCCCTTAATGGCACGAATTATAGCCAGATGCTTAATTATCATCTGAAAGAAAATTCTTCAAGCTACAAAATGAGACATTCCCCAGCTCTAGACGTTTACCGGCTGAAGAGCTATGACTTTCACAAAACGTAACGAAGCTTACGTTTTTTGATTGGTACGCCTGGACAGGCCGAGAAGTGTATAACTCTTTTAGTTTAATATCCCACACGAGATTTCACATAAAACCATCAAGTAACAGTATCACATAAACATACAACGGTTACCATATTATGGCGTGTACTCAACAACGAACAAACAAATAAGTGAATGATCCTAACTTAACTGCAAGAGACCTGATTTTATAACAATACATATTACATATTTATCCAGCAAGTCAACAAAAGAGTGAAAGACAATAGATAGTATTATCACAACAATTTACAGATAGGTTAACTGGTAAAGTCTAACGGAGAATACAATTTACTATCCAATATAAACGTACTTAAAGAACATATTATCTATGGTAAAAACGTTTGGTGTCATTTATAAATTTTACGAACACTAATTCAATTGTAATTTTCGTCCCATCAAATCAGTAGAAAGAGAAGTGAAAGTTACATATCTAAGATTCTTAGTAAAATGCAAAAATTGACCTCACAGCCCTCCTCCCCTTTCTGAAAAATTCTTAATTTTAGTAAAGTAATCTTTTCCTATGTGGATATATATTGTATGTTTCATAATGTATCGGTAACCATGACTCAGTACGTTAATGAATTTGCTGAGGACTGCTGTTATTTGTTTTGTATACATATCATATGTGATTCTTAACCGTGGATTGTTATGTTTATCGTTTGTATTTTAGGTTATAAACTGAGTCGTTTCTTCTTTTCTCGATAGTCGCCTTCCACCACAGTCATGCCCGTTTATGTCTTATGAACATGAACTATTACATTACATGGAATATTTTATATGTTTAAAAGTGGATTCACAGTAGAGTTTCTTTAACAACACATAGTACTAGCTTTATAAAGATAACAACATACTATTCATAGATTAATTAACTATTATTATCTCTCACAAACTGTTAGAAGAGTTACACATTTTAGCCCCATAGCGGGTTTACACTGAGAAGCTCTTTTTCTTCTTTCTCATCTCTCATTTCCTTCCATTCATCACTGATGAACCATGTATCGATTATTAGTAGTACATCTCTCGTCAAATGTTAAATTTTCTTGAATAAAATGATCGAGTATAATCTTACAACTCTATTCATCAATACAAAATCTAAGCATCAACTAGAACAACTACTATTTCGTCTTATCACCAAACAAACGATAACTGATAAAAAACTAACATGTCTCCACAAGTTAAATGTCTTGCAAGACAATACTTACAGATGAGACTAAGATCTTTGAAGTGCGTTGAAAAATTTGTTCTACATGTTGAGATATAATATAGTGTAAAATTTTTTAGAATCAGAATTCTAAAATTTATCTGCACATTAATTTCATTATCTTCAACTTACATTCTCTTTTTGAACGTTGACATTTAATATGGTTGATATTGAACCGTTGATAAACTATTATCAATAATTTCTGTTCATCACAGATACATTCAATAATTATTTAAAAATTCTTTTTTGTCAAAATTCATTATCGTCTCTGATTTTTAAATTTTAAAGTGATAATATTCGGACGTTTTAATTTTGAGAAGTGTTTTATATCAAGTCTAATTTAGAATATTGATGAATAAATCGGTGACGATTTTCTCATTCGACTAGATATCCCTCGACCAACAGAAATAACTAATTACACATATAAAATGATTAAAATTGATAAATTAAGAATGGAGTTGAACAAGCTCACAGTTTAAATTGACTAAAATAAGATCTATAAACTTTGAATAGTTGATCAAATCTGAAAAAATTAAAGTCACAAATGACTACGTTGGTACCATTTTTTTTCAAATTTATTTTAAATTCAAACATGCATAACGTGCAGTCCATAATGAATTGAATAAAAACAAACAAAAATCGAAGAAGCAATAAAAGAAGCTACACTGTAATCTAAAATGAAAACATTTTTCTCTTTTACACAAAAAATTCATTTGATTCATTTTACTCTTCACACTTTGTGAACTGCAATAGTGGAAATTGTACACCAGATAGTACACCAGAATTGTACATCAAGATGATGAAACTAATGAAATATCATTTCTTTTAACTCTACATGGAAATCATTTAATGCGGTATCGGTACGCTACTATTTTTTGCTTTTTTACATTGTCGAAAACTCTTACTTTTGTCAACACGTGTATTCTATCCACAAAATTCATGTTATATTTAAATCAAATTAATTTTTTACGAATCTGATAACATTTTTAAATATCATATTCAAAGAAGTTGAGTAGAACGAACGAATATCCGTATGAAAATTTAAGATGATTTTTATAAACTAAGATACGATATTTTGTTTAGTTCGTCTTAGACAAAGAATAAAAAAGGTAATGAACTGATGTTTCCGATAATAGAATTACATGATTTTTACATCTATTGAAGTATAAATATATCACAATGGTGTACTCAACAATAAAATTATTTCTTCTCTTTGCATTAAAGAAATTTCTATTTAATTGGTCAACAAACAATTTACTACACTGAAATTTTTCCTATTTGAATTTCAATCGATTGACATTGGGTTGTTGTTGTTTTTCTACGCTGACAACACTAATTGTTAACAATAAAACAATATTTCATTATAAATAAAAATAATCAACTAACAATAATACCTTTTTATCACATTTAAGATTATTTGTACTTTTTATACCATAATTATTGTGCAATCAACAACATGTTAAATTATAGAAAAATGGAGTTTATTCACAGTGACAATATTCTCATCATCGGTGTTCTGACAATGTTACAATTAAAGAATTTGTAATGATGAAAAAATGGTGAACTTACAAAATGTTATTAATTAGAAGAGCTGAAAAGATGTCTTGTTTCTAGAACGAGAGTATTTGAGTCAATCAAGAAATCATCACAATTGTTTCACTTTATAGAAATACATAGAGACAGGTAGATATCTATCTATAGAGCACAGAAAAAATGATTAATTTGTTAGTTTAAACTTTAGTTATTTAAGGAAAAGAAAACAGCAGCGCATATCAAAGTACACATTATAAGAGTTTTGCACTTGTGTTTTTTTTTTCTTACTAATAAAGTTGATTTCTTTTATAGAATAAAATGACGATGTTTTTCGATGATTACTAGACATGATTGAATTATCTAGACAAAAAAATTGTTAAATATAATTAACTATATCTCCTCAACTAAATTTCATCACTACAATTTGATCGTTAATGAAATCGTGTTTAAAACAGATATATATTTTTTTCTTTTTAAATAAAATAATCTAATCTAGTAGGCACTAAATACAATAAAAATGAGACGAATAACTCGACATTTGTTTATAAATTAACTTTTTCTTCAGAATCTTTCTCTCTCTCTGTCTCTTCTAACAATAATAATACATTTTTACATTAATTTCTTGTGAATATTTAATCGTACTAACCTGTCAAACTGTTCAATAAACATTTTACATTTATCTTGTGGTACTTTTCGATGATGTTCTAAATCTTTTTGATTTCCCAGTATGAGTATGGGTATATGTGATGGTACTTTGGGTAATTCACGTTCAATATAATCCCATGTCCATTGTTTACATATATCATAAACAAATATGACACCAGATGTATTCTTATAAACATCTAAAAATTCAGCATCCAATGATAATTCATATGCTTCCTAAATAAAATGGAGATAAAAATTCATTAATTTAAGAGAGAAACGATTTTTGTACATGAAACATAAACAAATCAAATTCGATAATTATTCACTTTTTCCTAATGTATCTAGTTCTTTTGCATATTTTCTTAAGATGATTTGTCACATATTAATTATATGACTGGTATTTGAACATCTAGGAAAATTGTTGTAACGTAATTATTAAGAATTGTCTCGAACTGTGAAACGCCTCATTTCGTAGAGAAATGTTTGCTTTATGTTGAAAGAAAACTTAATTGTGACACAAATATGAGAAATGTATAATAATCACTGGTCACCAGTTAGATATAACTATTCGTGTCTTGCCAACAGTTCGTTAACGAACTCTTCTCCCTTTAACCTTTAATATAAATATATCAAACATTTCTCTACAGAACTAGACGTTTTCCAAGTCGGAGTGATTCTAATAACCACCTAATAACAATTTTCTCCGATACTCCAAAAATAATGAGAAAGAATTGGTCTATAACTGGTCTAACTTTTATCGTGTTTTTTTATCTACATACTTGTGCATCTTGATTCGTTAATTTTAATGGTTTATCTAATTTACGTTTTTTTCGTGATTTATCAACAATATCCCAAACTTCAACTTTCACAATATCATCAAATGATTTATAATTCCAATTGATGTTCGCTACCTAAAATTAGTTTAGATATCTAGAAGAGAAACAAGTGGTTCTAAAAGACTACATACTTTAATTTCATCAGATGGGACATAATCTTCGTGAAATTGATTTCCTTGTAAACGAGACCATAGCGTCGTTTTACCAACATTACATTCACCACGAATAACAACTTTCACTAAAAAGAATAGACGAATAAAATAGACTAAACTAACAATAGAATAAAAAAAGTAACAACAAGTCTATTCTGTTTTCATTGAAAAATGAATACAATTAATCTTAAGAATAATATTACTTTTATAAATAAAAAAGGATATCCGAGCTGTTGCATGCACCTCAATTTCAGTTATTTATAACGATCTAACAAAAGCACATAGGAAAGAGACACTGTACTAGAGTTAACCCTAGATCGCACACAAATGCAGACAAAATGAAAGAAAACTAACCGTTGACTCGACAAACATTCCTGTGTCAAATGCATTAATTTCTTTGGATATACGCTCAGAAGCATAAATACTAGGAAATTGTTAAAATTCTTTGGGTTTTAATATTTGAAGAATTATTTCGTAAGGTGAAAATTTTTAATAAGAATAATAGGACTAAAGTCACCTTTTTTGTTACTTTATACTTATGTTCATGTTTTTACACAGGGTTTTAATATATTCGCTAGAATTTCAAATAGCGCAGAACAAATATTTTCATCAGCAGAAAGCTTTCTTTGATAGTTGGAGCCACTGGCGGATCCAGTCAGCGAGCGATTCACCCTTTAGAGCAAAAAGAATAATTTTTCCCTAGCAGAACTGTCTTAGAAAATTGCGTTTCTATGACGACCGTATGTATCTCATACTTTCCTTAACTAGCGCATGTACCTAAGAAAAATCCTGAATTCATCACTGTATAGGGCTATGTAGCTATATATGCTATTTCAAAACAGTTCAACTTTAATGGTTGAACAAAGATTCCATTTTACAGAAAGTTTTTACAAAATAATATCAATGGTACAACCACGAATTTTTGATAATTGAGCCATATTCGATTAGATCGAAATACCAGACTAGGCCACGCTGTTGGACCAGAAAAGATATTTGAAAAACTTTAGCTTAGAAAATTACAAATTTTTAAATTCTATTAAGCTAAATTAAAATCTCATTCGACCATGAACCATTGTCCCTTCTCCTCCAGCAGTTATACCATTGAATGACACATCGAAATCTCTAAGTATTGAATATTAGGTTCCACTAAGAACTATCGTTTATATAAAATAAACTTATGTACATACTGTTATATTGTACACCTTTCGCATATTTTTTTTGTAAACCTTGACATAATGGCTTAAATGATGAATTTGAAGATTTATTCGTTGCTGTCGAAGATGTGTTATTGTGAGTAGGTGATATTTGAGGAGGTGATTGTTGCGAGTGAGATGATGATGAACTCGTTTGACTAGATGAATCTGGCCCCATTAAACGTTTAATTGCCTGTACAAACGACATTATTATTTAGTATACAATTATCTAAAAGTAAACAGAACTATCAGCATTAATGTATAGGACAAAGGTGAAGAATATAAACTGCACTACTTCGGATTTGGTAAAACGATTTGTTAATAGTGTGTTTATATAAGAAAGTTATCAAAAAGTTGCTTGAGTTATTCTTAAAACCAACAATAATACCATTTGGACGTTATCTCTATTTGTCACTCATTCACAATAAGCTGTACTTATCATCATGTTCCATACGACATGATCAAACGACACCAACAACATCTGAAAACGTGGAAAATCAGCTTAAACTTCAAACTATAAATATCGGAAGATATTTATGATTAAGTGCTAAAAGTTGAAATTCACTATGAGAAATTTTTTGAGATATACGTCAGTAATACATTCACCTTGGGCAAAAAAAGTCGTTTTGTGCTTGTTTTCTAACTGTAAATCGAGTAAATAGAAGAAAAAATTCTTTGTCATACGATATAGTTGTTTTTCAACGACGATTAATAGTTTGACAACAGCTTTTCCACAAGCAATCTCCATGAGAATTTTTTCTAGCGCTCTACAAAAGACGAGAGCTAAAGAAGTTCATACGTTTCTAAATGAAATATTTACCAGAAAAATCACATCGTATAACATGCTTTTCTGCAAGAGATTGAGTACGACAAGGGCACCCTCTGTTCCTCAACGTACACCTCTCATACAAATGATATAGTAAATGGATAAATGAGTAGATGACTCATCTATCGATCACGGAATGCACATAATTTTAGACCAGTGAGTAGAAAGATAAAATACTCTATGTATGTTCGAAATATCAATCACCTATGCAATTCCAACTGGTATTATACGGAGGAAGAAACAAGGCACTAAAAAAATATATTAAATAATGCTTGATTTTTACTATTACTTCTCATTCCTTACGCAAACCAGTAATTCGATTATATAATAGATCGATGACCGGTTAAAAGATGACTTCTGGTGATGATCTGGACGTTGGTCAATTTTCGGATTTTGAAATTTTTCGATTTGAAAGTTCTCAAGATATCCCAATATTTCTTAAGGGTATTTCCTCCCTCTTTTTTACCTTATTGGATGATGTGGATTTAAACGTCCGATATCAGAGATGGGAGATTGGAAAAGAAAACTGATAACATAATGGTGTTTAATGTTATTATATTAACAAGGCCTTAACCTCGATCGAAATATTGTCAATAAGATAACATTCATCATCGATGTATTATTAACTGATTCGACTGTCACTGTTCCACAGATGGTTTCTTTTCATTTTTCGATTATATTTTGTAGATAAATATTCAAGATTAACATGTCAGCTATTTCGGCTCATAATGGTATGTATTTACGAAAAAACTATCACCATCATCGTATGTTTTGAATTAGACATAGTGCAATACATCAAAAAGTATTCCTTTTAATGCTTAAGAAGGCTCTATAAGGTTTTACGATTAAACATATGCATCTTCATTTCTTCGAAGAACAGAACAGTAAATAAATCCTAGTCCTGTTTTATTTTGATGATTTCAAGATGAAGAAAGTATCAAATCAGCAAATAAAAAGAAGCCAACTAAGGTTTACATTTTGTAGCAAAAGTATAGATTCTCTTTTGGAATACGCTTGTGACGCTAGCGAAAATACAAAAGAAAATTTAATCTCTCTGCAGCAACAAATACGCTGTCTATTCTTTGTTAATGAGCTGTTCAAATAGCATTTCAGTCAGTTTGTTGACTAAAAATAATCTAATTTAAGGAAGACAAAATTAAAAATGCCTTTTAAACTGTCAGCAGCTGTTTTCTGTCAGTTTGAGAACATTGACAGTCATACGTTATTCTTTATTCATATTTTCAATTATAATATACATGAGTGAGCAGCTTCTAAATTAAAAAAGATTCTAGAGAGCTAATATCTCTGATCAATGATTGATTAAGAAGTGGTGTATCTTCATCTGAGAAGTCAGTCTTCTGGATCTTCTTTAGTTCTCACTAACATGAGTTTTTAGTCTTCATCGAATGTTGTGGTCGTCTACAATCTACAAATCTGTAACAATATGTGTAATAATTGATTTTTATTTACATTGGAGGAAAAAATAATAGATTGAAAAACTGAAATCAATGATCTAATAGCGTTATTTAATAGAAAATTATACTCAACTTTTTTTTAATTACCGATATTCATCTTTTAAACCAGAGATTAAACTTTAATTTGTACTTTTTGTATATTCGACAGAGAACTTAAATCTTGAAGAATGTATATTTTCGCTAGAGAATGCATACATTGGTATTTTTTCCTTAAAATAAACATTCTATGTAGTGAGACAGAAAACAATTGCTGAAATGATCTTACGCATAGAAGGCGGAGACTTTTTAAGAATTTTTCTTGATAATAATTTTATTCGACTTGGTTCGGTGATTAATAACTTTAGATAATAAACAACTATTGTAAGAATTTTTTTTTATGGATTTGCTCATAGACTAGTAAAATAATAGACAGAGAGCAGCAGTTCAGTTGTATTTTTCGATATGAACCGTGCATAAGTAAAATACAGTCATTAACTCACGTTTATACGCACATCTCATTTCAAGCTGATTTCTTGCAAATCTGTTTGTTGTTTCATGTTGTTACCAGGTGATCATTGCACTCAGAATTTCAAGAACCTTCGATGAAATGTGCGTGTAAACGTAATCTTAAACTGTTTACCGTGGGCATAATTCTGAGATCTTTTACTGTAGTAGTATGTCATTACTTTATTTTAAAATGTAAAAGGAGGATGAAGGAAAGAAATCAAATAAGGATTAATACGATTTGTGTTTTTTCATTCAGGTGTTACATGTGATTGTTGTATGAAATCAAATTTTTCCGATCGACGATATAAGTGTTTAGAATGCTTAAATTATGATCAATGTGGCCAATGTAAAGACAACGACGCAAAAACGCAACAACATGAAACGACACATCCAATGCAATGTATATGTACACAACAGTTGAAAGGTGAGAGAACATGCTGACTGCGGTCTTTCTTAGATTCTAGATAAAGTAGCAAGTATGTAGTCATCAACTTCGATTATCGAAAAGTGTTTTTGTTTACCTTTTTCCTTTTTTCAACAGCATTTTTGTTTATTCTATTTAGATTTATTTTATATTGGTGAAAGCTCACTACGTGTTGTCACTTCATTGACGTGTCCTTATTGCGGTGATGGTGGATTTTTAACGTATGATTTAATACAACATCTATTAAATGCGCATTCAGAAGAGAATAGGCAGGTAGTGGTATTTAGAAAGAGAGAAGACAACATCGTGATGCATATCACTCAAAACTACCGAGAAGTAGTTAAAATTTGCTGGTGCTGTGAGAATGCTTTGTACACATTTCATTCAATCGAGATGGACTTGTTTGGAAAAGCTGCGTCATTACATTTATTTACAATGTTTTATAGTCAACATTAATTTGGTCTTAGCGTAGAGTTATCACATTCTTTCAAAGGCACGCTGAATAGATTTATATTTTCCTATACACATTGTACAAATCTCTAACAATGTTGAGCGGAATGATTTTCTGCTCTCAAATGTGCATTCACACTCTTAACTGTATTTGTTATTTTTACGGTGTTTAGATTTGCCCAATATGCGTTCTCTCTCCATCAGCAGATCCAAATTATCGCACATCTTCTCTAATAGCGCATATTCTAAGTGCACATGAATATGAATCAACATCTTCGACTCAGTCTCAGCCAGCAATATCCCTTTCACTCGAACAACAACAACAAGAGCAACGACAACGGGTCACTTCGCGCACCTTGCAACCACTTAAACAAGTAGCAATGACGGCAACCATATCCTTTTTTGGTTTTGGTTTTGGTTTTTGTATTTTTACTCAAGTGTGCTTGCTGAACACATTTTCTGTCTTATCCTTAACCATATATTGTTTCATGCAATAATTATTTTTACGGTCTTCAAACAGCTCGTCGAGATGATACTTCTAGTCGAAATCGTTATTATCCAACCTCTCGTGGTAGTGCAGTTCGTGGATTATCGGGCAGATATCATGAATCAACTATGGTGCAAAATGTTGATATTCAAGAAGATGAAATATTTGAGGAAGATCTTTATCAGCAGCAAAGACGAGCAGCAGAAAATTCGAAGAATACAGTTAGGAGAAGTAAGCTGATTGTGTTCATTTTCAAGCACATAGTAGTCCATAATTAAAACAGTCTTAACGTTAATAATACTCTCTAGTGTGGGAAGTGTTTTTATTCGGTTTATGTTTCACTGCGACTGAAAATTGTTCATACAAAAACATAAAATTCATGCTTATTTTTTTCGATTTATGTCATTTTAGATGGTGGTGCTCTTGCTCCTCCAGCATTTCGTCCAGTAACACAAATAAATTCGTCATCAGTTGCAGCTTCAAATTCATCTTACAATTATTTGAATCGATATGCATTTACAGATGAATATGCATTCGACAAGTCACAAAGACAAGAAAATATATCAGGTAGAATATAGGCACTTGATAAATAGTTTTTTATTTACTTTTCCATCAAACAATTCTTATTTTCGACTTTGAGTTATTTTATGTTTTTCTATGTGGAACCAAAAGCCGTTTTTTTGATTGATTATTATAACACAATGAACATGTATAGGTTGTGAATAATATTTTCGATTTTAGCATCGATTTACATTTGCATCTGTTTGAATTTGTTCTTTCGAACCACTGATGTTAAAATGTTGACTCCTCCTATTCTGGTTAAATTTTGATTCAGAGACATAGATTTATGAGAAGATAAATTTTATTTTTTTAAGATATACAGAAGGTAGACAAAATATAACGAAACGAATATAGATTATGATCTCAGCCAACTTTCAGAAAATATAGAACATCACATTTGTAAATTATGCGAATAATTTCAACTCGAAATATTGGGTGTATTGTAATTTCAGATTTTTAAAATTCAGAAACCTAAAGAGATCGATCAGTCAAAAGATAGGAAATTTTTTAATTTCAAAGAAGAATGTAATTTAAGATATTTGTATAAGGTTCATATGTGTATAGTAATATTTGCTTTCTTATTTATGTTGATTTAGATGTAATATCATCACAATTAGAAACTGTTTTGCCTACAACTCATATTTCACATCCGTCAACATCAGTGACTACAACTGCACCGTCTGTTACCGCTGTTTTACCAACGCAGTCTCATTTGAATGAAAGTTTGCTACACTCATCAAATCTGTTTCGCACTCCAAGAGTTAAAGAAGACATACAACGCTTTACACAACAGATTGAACAAAACAAAGCAATGATACGAATAAAGTAAGGATAGCTCTCGTTTGATAGTAGAACAACTAAATACTACAACTAATATAGAATACTGTCCTAATAAGTTTTTTTTATATCGTTATTGATTGTAAACTTCGGGCATAAGACTTACAGTCACTGGATAAATTCGACTAAACGTTTTTTCTATTTTAGATCCGAATTGCTGAATCAACATTTTGCACGTGTTAATTCTTATCCTTCTCATCGTCAGCAATCTGTAGCTTGGAGTCAACAGTCTCAATCAGCAGCACTAACAGTTCTTGCTCAAGCTCAACTTTTACATCAACAACAAATAGCAGCCACGGATATTTATTCTCAACGTGTATATACACCAGAGGTGCAAAGAGTAGTACAGAACAGTATGCAAATACATCGATCGATTCCCGTTAAAAAATCAACAAAAATAATAAATAATAATAATCAAAATGAAAAAGATCAACGATCACTTTTAGGAAGGTAAGTTAGATTTGTTATTTAAACATTATGTTGTAACATATAAAAATAGCACAGTACATTGAATGTACTGCTTCTACAATTTATTCTGTAATTGTTGTCCATTAGTAGTGAAAATTAAGATAATGTATGATATTATTGTCTTTTAGAATTTTGTTGGCTTCAGATGATTGTGATGTAAAACAACGTGACTTTCAACATACAAAATTATCGTCTCACGTCAATTTTATTCAAAATGTTCTAATTAGTTCATTTAAATCACCAGTAGAAGGAAAAGAGAATGAATAGCTACAATAGAAATATTTAGTCAATAGAACAGTGATAAGAAAATGATATATATATATATGTATATATATACAGGGTTGTGCATAACCTTTTGCTAGGGGAATACAGCTCCTACGACAAATGATATAAAATGAATTATATACCAAATGAAAGCTCATCGAAAACGCGATTATCGAGTATAACTGGTAATTCATAGGTTGATTATTAGCTATAGAATTATGGAAGTTTCTAGCGGGTACGGAAAAACTGAAAACTTTGTATTTTTGGTATTTTTTTCGACTTGGACTTTTTTCTTCTGCTATCATTTTCGTAAAAAGTGTAGCAAAAGTGAGCACTCGGTTCTTTTTGTACTTTTGAATATGTTCTCTTTCTCGTGACCTGTAAAAAAAGTTTTAAAACAGATGGTGTGCTGGAGAACGAAATTTCAAAAATGTCTCCCCGTTTTCAACAATGTGCCCAAACATAAGATGATCGAAATTTTGATTTTTCAGTTAGTAGTGAAGAGCAATCATTTTTGATCAAAATAAAACAAATCCGATCGAAAAAGCTTTTGTTCTAATGAAGTTATGGGATTTTTACTGAAAGCATCACTCAGAATTGACGCACCCGCTAGAAACTTTCATAATTCTATAGCTCATAATCAACCTATAGATTACCAGTTATACTCGATAATCCCGTTTTCGATGAGCTTTCATTTGGTAAATAATTCATTTTTATATCATTTGTCGTTGGAGCTGCACCCTCCTAGCAAAAGGTTATGCACAATCCTTTATATATGTTACAGTGGAATTGGAAACTAGTAGAATTTAAAATTCCTATCTTCACTAGTACAGATTGAAATTTTGATTTTCACTAGTAAAATTTTAAATTCTTACTGTAACGTATACTCAGGACATCATTGAGAATGATCAATCACAGTGATATTATTGTTTTTTATATGCTTATTATTTTATAGTGTACTATTGATCTTTCTCTCACTCTTTGCTTCTCTCTCACCTTTGCGTTCTTTTATGTTTTCTGCAACTTCATTTTTATCTCTTCGTTTAATGTCATTTATCTGTTTTTGTGATTTGCACGCTAAAAGCTAGAAAATAAACAGGGTCATATTAATAAATAGAAATCTCTCAAATGGATAAACCAGAAGCAATTGATCATGCTAAAAATTGTGGCAATACTTCTTTTCAAAGAAAAGTTTTTGAGTGCGCTCTCATTTAAGTGCATCTTACTTTAGAGCGTTTTCATTCTTGAAAATATTTTGAAAGTTTTGAATCGTTTCTGTCATCACTGTTTGTTATTAATTTTTAGAGTGGCTAGTAGGCTTTTATTTTAATTTCAAAAATAATCTAGCTTACAATATTTTCGAACAGCTTCATCATCAACATACTCTTGTTGCGAACCGATATTTTGATTAAGATATAATGTCTGATTGAAATCGAAAGGTTTATTACCTGAGCTTTGAACTTGTAAGAAGTGTTGATATAAGGTTTATTCTGTCAGAACACAAGCGGAAAAATATTCTATTATAGTGCTCTAAACTAAACTGTTCTCCGTATTCAACTTTCCGTATTTATCCGGAATAACAAGGTTTCGTGACTGAAAACAGAACATTAGACGATGTAAAAAGAGACGGTGACTGCTATACGAGTTCTGTTGGGTAATTCTTTCGATACTGTCCCACACTTTACATGAAGGTCTGCCGCAAAAATCGCGACATATGTCATTTGAAAGAGCATTTAATTCTGAATGCGTCATTTAAAAAATTTTAAAACATTGGTATAGGGTTTTTGGGGATGTTCGACATTTGGAGATTTTATAGGTTCCAGGACGCAATTCATACTTAATTATCTCAGAAAAAACAAAAGCGACAAACCTGAACGCTTTAAGATATAGACTAAAGACATCAAGGGCTAAAATGATTCATTTCTCTACTGCACTTGTTCTAAGATGGTGACAATAATAACAATCCGTCGTATTAAATGCGTTTTTCACCATCAAATCGAACTCTAAACTCAAAAGTAGCATGTGTATCAGATTCCTCGTCGTTAGTTCTATCTAGAAACGTAGTTTTTAATTGTCCACATCGCTCCTGTAAGTTTGCTGAAAGTTTTTTTTCATAAGCATTACGGCACTTATTTGTTTTTTGATGGTCCCCCGAGCTATTTTTAACTAGGTTTTTCCCATTTTTGTTGACCCTAGTGCACATTTTCGGACTCTACACGTTTTCAACCATATGAATAACCGAGATCCCAATACTTTATCTCCAGTTTCTGAGATACGGGTGTTTGACGTTCCGAATTTTCCAGAAAACGTATCGACTGCAAAGTACATCGAAAATTTTTTAAACCGTTAGACAGAACGTTCATTTCTGTACAAAATGACATATTTTCTACGTTTTTAAGTTAAAGATGATCTAATCAACGCAGAATTGTTGTACAACAACACCAGTGAAATCACGCATCTTTTAGCCGTTAATGCGCTCTTTTCGAGTCTTTGATGCGATTTCATTTGGCTAAACAATGTAAACGTGGAAAATATGTCATTTTGTACAGAAGTGAACGTTCTGTCTAATGGTATGTTTAAAAAAATTTTCGATGTACTTTGCAGTTGATACGTTTTCTGGAAAATCCGGAATTTCAAACACCCGTATCTCAGAAACTGGAGATAAAGTATTGGGATCTCGGTTGATTCATATGGTTGAAAACGTGTAGAGTCCGAAAATGTGCATTAGGGTCAACAAAAATGGGAAAAACGTAGTTAAAAATAGCTTGGGGACAACTATCAAAAGAATTACCCGTTGAACACATATTAATAGAAAAGTTCTTCGTTTACAGATACATCTGCTGTATTTGAATTATCAAACAAAAGAGTAAACACATGTCTACGTTCACATACCGTATGTGAACGTAGACATGTGTTTACTCTCCTTTTGTTTGAAATTCCATACGCTGCTTTTTAAGTACCTAGTCAAGGCATCATTGACAGACAGACGTAGACATAGACATTTATTTGACAACAAAAAAGTAAAAAGAACCAATACAATAAACTAAAATCAAAAGAGGTTGTTGCAGGAGAAAAAAACAGAAAAAGCGCATACTGCCCTTATTAGACTATGACCCTTCTAATTTCGACAAAGAAAATAAACAAAAAGAACGAGAGAAAGATAAAGAATTAAAGCTCTAAGAAGTTCTTTAGTCTGTGCTTGAACAAGCTTATGCTGTTAGCTGTAACCACGTGCTCTGGTAAGCCATTCCACTCAATTGCCGTTCTGTGAAAAAAGGAATACAGGGCGGTATAGGTCTTGAACATATCAGCCACCCTAACTGCTCTAGAATGGTTTAGCCTGCCAGAATGCCTACTGAATAAGACTGAGATTCGAAAGAATGGAATGATTGTGGAGAATCTTATAAAAATGAAGCAATCTGAAGTAATTACGTCTTTTATATAGATCTGGTAAATTTAATTTCTCTATTAATTTAGAAACAGAGCCATCAAACTTTTTAAATATAATTCGCGCAGCCAATTTAACAATAGAGTCAATGCGAGAATTATGATAAGGAAATTTAGTGTCGTAAACAACCGAACAATAGTCTAATTTACTTAGAATGCATGCCTTGAAAACAGTTAACCTCACCAGGATCGGTGCATCCTTGAAAGTACGGTACATGGCACCTAATCTTCTACGGCAAGCCAGAATAAGATCCTCAATATGATCTCCCCAATGTAAATTAGATCCTCAAATAGTAGCTGCTAACGACAGTCGAGTAAAGCCTCACTACCATAATCGAAAAAGTGCAAAAATCAACAGATGCGTGAGCGCATTTTCCATCAAAACATCTGATATTTCATGATATAATTGGTAATTTTTTGAAAATGTCAGAAATGATAGTAACAGTAGTGATCATAGTCATTTCTCGTTGACACCGAATCCACCCGCTGCCGCTTTTTGCGTTTTTGACCCTTTCTTTCCCGATGATATTTATAAATATCATTTTTTGATTATTACATCCTGTGATGTATAAATTATACGGCAATCAATTTTAAATCCGCCTGAAGCTTATTAATTATATATTTCAAATTAATAATCGAGAGTTAGTTAAACATTCTTTTCGATATTTAAGGAAATACACAAGAGCATGCTATAAAAAATACATCAAAGTCACATTTTATTCAAACTGTTGTTATGCAGATAAGGATCACTAAATTGACGTTTTCTGAGTGAATTTCGTTCCGAACCTTTAGACTTCATCATGGGGAAGAACAGATTACTTTGTTTCTCTTGAGATTTCTTGAAAACGATCTGTCCTATTTCCAGAAAATTCATTACTTTTTTTGTTGATAGAAATTTGAAAAGTTTTACAGATTTATACATAGTTCTGTAGAATTCTGTAATATACTGTATTTTCCCGCTCAATCTTAGAATGATATAGAATTCTCTACATTACTTCGTAGCACAAAAGTCTGTTCTTTACTCTTATTATGATATGAAATTCTGAAATATATAGCTAGATTTTATTCTGAAAAAAAAAATTTCGTAAAATCTTTGAAATATAAGAACATTGATACTCCTGCAAATTTATATTAAGTATAATTTGCGTTACACGCCTATGACAAAAATAAATTAGAGTTCAAGTGGACATAAACTGATTGTACAATTTGCCGCTTTTCTGGTATATTTTGAGTTGATTGTTGTAACATATTTTTCTAAATATTGCCAATTAATTGGACAGATGGGAACAGGAACTATTTCATATTTCAGTGGAACAGTATTACGACTAACATTCGATAGATTCGTTTCAAATGAACAACGTTCAGCTAAAATAAGTCATTAGATGTCTGTGTCCTCGTTAAAAAAACTTTATAATCAAAAACGTTGTCACTTCACTGTTAATAACGATATACCAGATATTATTAACCCTTACCCGAGTATGGTGTTGCATTTAATTCACATTTTGCTCCTTGATGATTTTTCTTACATAAACAATACAAATCGAATAACGGTGGCATTCCCACGGCAATACATGTTCCTCCATTGTAACATTGCAACACATTGCATGATTTTGGCTGATTCAAATAATGTTCACATTTGAGGCCATCATATTGATTGTTACATAAACATTTTGGCTCATCATTGACCATCACACATGTGCCGCCATTTAAACATTTGTAAGATAAACATGGAAAATGGATTAGACTAATAGCATATTGACAACGAAAACCATAATACCATTGAGAACATTGACAAGAAAAGCCGTTTACAAGTTCAATACACGTACCTAGAATATATAAATAATCTTTTGAAATGATAGACCTTCTCTTTGAGATAATCTTTAGATAAGGAAGAAGAGTGACGTGGAATTATTTTAAAATATCTTACCTCCATTTAGACATGCTTCTTGCTCACAATCTTTAATGTCAATGTCACACTGTTTTCCCGTAATACCAGGATCACATTTACATTCCATTTGCTCACATTTTCCATATGCACATGTCATATTATTGCATAGGCCACTTTTATTTGTTTGTTGTTGACCTACAAACAATAAAAATAGTTTGCCAAAAAAAATCTTACGCCAGTGTAGATTATGTAATTACCAGTGATATGTACAAGTAAAGCAGCTGTGATAAGAAATATTGTACATAACATTTGTCTATCCGAAAATACACAGAAGAAAAGGAAACGGTCAAAATATGACTCCTTGTATGTGAGTTATTTTCATACGAAAGGTGTAATACTAGTTTTTCCAGTCATAAAATCTTATAGGTTTAGCAATCATTAATCTATAATTGTAAAAATAAGAAGATCAATCAGAATGGACAGTAATCAATGATTCTTCTACTAACAACGACACTCGTCAATATTATCTCAAAAAACTATGCAAACAATGTTTTTTCTCTTTATATACAAATTTTTTTCTATTGTTTTTATTATAGACTACAAACTGTTCTCTTGTTTTACGCGTACGTGATTATATTTGTTAAAAATTTCACTTTTTTTATTAACAATAAACTTAGTAGCCGATGCAAAATCTCTCTGATGACGATGTTGGAAGCATATACGGCATGCTCAAAAAATATATTTCTCTTTCTTCTTTACAAGAGAATATTTGTTCCCAAATCACTAAAAAAGACGAATTATGTTTTTCCCTTTTGATCCTTAGGATATTAAGTATATTAATTTTCAGATAGTTTGATTTATCGATGAAATCCAAGAAGGTGAATATGTAGTCTCAACATTGTTCAATTAAGGAATTGCTTTTGTTTCGGCGTTAACAAATAGATTTTGTATATGAACCCCTGCAAATGGTATTGCTGCGAGAGATCGATTGAAACTTTTTGATCGACTCGAAAAATTTTGAGTATTCAACGATAGACTACGTAGCACGAATATGAAAAATCCACAAAATCTCGACACATCCGATCGCCACCTTAGTGAATGTACTCGAGTGTGAGTACTCAAAGTCGTACTCTGCTGAAAAATGTCCCGAGTACTGTGGGTACGACTTTAAGTACTCATGCTTGGATATTGTTGAGTACTCATACAACTTTTGACAAAATACTCATTAGTATTGTTCATCTGATGTTTTCATATAGAAGAGTGATCTCAGGCAGTCAGAGTAGGACTACAAGTCTAGTCATAGTTGAGTCCATCCCTGACTACATACAGAGAGACCAATGAGGAAATAATTATATAAATATTCTATGTTTCTTCACTAAATTCTACATTCTTTATAAATTTCAGTTTAGCAAAATAAAACGGTGAATGAATATTTTCTGAGTACTGACATGACTAACTGAGTACTCACTGAGTAACAACACTCAAAAATTGTTAGTATTACTAATATGAGTACTCATGGACGAATTATGAGTAAAGTCGTACCCATCGTATGAGTACTTTCACTAGGATTGTATTTTTAAAACAAACAAATTGAAGGGAGAAAGTGTCACAACATCGGTCGCTAAGTTGTTTCAGTCTTTCATTGTCCGAATTGACGAAGAGACGAAGTTGCCACTTATGATACGAGCAGTAAGACGTTGAAGTGGATTTAAGGGCTCTAAATGGGTAGAATATGAGTTATCATAGACAATTGCTCCATACTCAACGACAGATCTTACACAAGTCTCAAAGAGATGTTTTTTCAATTTGGCAGGGACATCTCAAAAGTCCGACGTATCACATTCAACATTCGTCTGCATTTCATCTCGACTTTCGATGTGACTAGCCCATTTTAAGTCATGAGAAATGTAGAACCCGAGCAACTTGATTTCACTCACCCGCTCAAGGGGAGTTTCTTCTAACTTGACAATAGCTGGCGATTGAAAACTAGGCATACGGTCGAAAATCATCCACTGACACTTATCAATATTCAAGTTGACAAGCATCTTTTTACACCAAGTGTGAATGCTAGTTACTTTGGCTCGAAAGGAATCTAGGCTATGATCAAACGGGAGAGATACGGCACAAAAGAGATCATCGGCAAAGTGGATAATAGGGTAGCAGGCTTGAAGTATTCTGCAGTGTCATTTAGGAATATCAAAAAGTGCAAGGGGCCCTGATTCGATCCTTGCGGAACGCCATATGTTACCAATATTGCTTGTTAATCATTAAGATACGAACCAAACCAGTCGAAAAGTTTCGCATCGATACCTGTCGAATTTAATATTTGAAAGCAGAAGTTGGTGAGGAACTCTATCAAAAGCTGTCATAAATCCAAATGCAACTCCAGGCATTTTTACATCCTTATTTGCGAGAGACGAAAGGCGGCTGACGAGAAAATTGAGTGCATCGACAGTGGATGAATTTGCTCGAAAGCCAAATTGCTGTTTGTTAATTCGTTTTATCTCATTATTTATATCCTTAATTTAATACTTTAAGCTTGAAATAATAAGAATAATAATGCCAAAGTGAAGAAGAAGTGTAAAAAAGAAAAATAGAAAGGCCTTAAACACTTTTCCTGATAAATTATATCTTGCATTCTTTTGATCCGTCCTACAGCTCTTGTATAAATTTAATACAGGTATACTAAGAATTTACTCCTTATTTCTTTTCTCAAGTGTTTAATGCTCCCATCTTTTAAAGGTCTGATATTCACAAGCTCTTGACAAAGTGGCCCTATTATTCTTATTATTATTTCAAGATTACAGTATTAAATAAACGATATAATTAATGAGCTAAAACGGATAAAGCATCTGTTTCTCTTCTCTCGTTTTCTGATTCGAAATCAACAACATCCGAGAAAAACAAAGGAGAAAAATCTTTTCATTTGTTCGCCACTAAATGACTGCGACCAAATGATCTGCGATGAATTGACCGATCATTGGAAATATTAGTAAGAATAATTTGTAAGGGGTACTGAGAGTTGATCAATTTTCACGTTTTTTTGCAGAAGCAGCCGTCAGACTTTGTTTTTGATCTTGATTAAAATTGTACTAGATCTCGCAGTTTAGGAAGAAGATCACTGTAACGCTAGTCAATGCTCTATGGAATTATCCAAAGTATTTTAACATATAAAAGTTGTTGTTTCACATCAAACAATTAAGTGAATATTTATGGGGACTGAATAAATATAGGAAAAAAAAATATTCTTGAGACAACATTCTTAAAATCTTGACAACATTAAAAGCATAATAAAAGTGTTATTTAGCTAAATAATAACAAGCAATAAGAATCGAGCAATATTTACATGAATAAAAATGAAGATTGTTAAAAATATGCTCATAAGTGAGAGTCTTGTTTAAACGAATAAAAAGATTAAAATATTTACCTCTAAAAGTCAGAAAAAGATTAAACTTTCCGGCTTCAAAGCTAAAAACAAGATTTTGTGTTCGATAATCGTACTAGACAGACGAACACAACACAATTGGCTCAATTAGTATGAGATATAAAGTATAGAAAACTATCAACAATAGAAATAACATCAACAAAGAGTTAATATTTTTGTCCACTTTTAGAGTATATCGTTGGATATAGTCGTTTTTGTCTTAAAGTATGTACTTGTGGTGTGGTGGATGTTGATACATTTGTTGTTTTGTCTTAGTATTATTCTCGACAGTTGTAATTTTAGAATATTTCTAAAAACTCTACTTACTAGTGAATTCAAATAGAACATTTTACAATAATTCATATGCCATAATCAATTTCCTAAATAAATCAATGTACACGTGATCATTGTTATCTGCGTATTTTATATATGCCGTATAAATTTACCACTATATAGGGAATATTCAACAAAATGGTAACAATTGCCTGAGTAAGTAACATTAGGATGAGTTCAAAATTATATTTACTAATAAAGGCACTATTATGTAATCGACCAAACGATCGTTGACGACTCAGTTTAATATTGCATTTAATTAGGAGACCAAATATTGTTAATATAATTGGTACAATTTCACTTTATCAGTATGAATAATACTGATAGTCGTACGCATTGTAATAATGTTTTATTTAGCTAATGAATAGCATTTGCTTTTTTTATGTTCATTGTACATATATATATTATTTGATACAATAGTCACCCTTATTTGTTTTTTATTATGATTCTTGTATTATATGACCAATACGTACAACACTTAACACTCGTTTACTGTAATTATTGTTGTAAAATAACACACGAATGTAAAAAAATCATCATATTGTTTTTACAGAGCAATACATATGCCAAAAAAACAAGTGTCATCGCGTTAAGTTGATTAAAACCGATCCCTCGTGTAAATAAAGAGCCGGTTTGAAAAATAACGCTATTATAGTGGCGATCATACAAAGATATATGAGACCCTAAGGAAAAGAAAAGCAATTTTTGAACTTCGGCTAGGTTGGATTTGTAGGGTTATGCTTCCGCTTGTGATAAAGAAGAGATTTACTGTGATGAGTGGTACAGATGAATATATTTTGGTCAGACGAACTAGCCTCTCGAAATCGGGAGAAACAAACCATGAGTTTCATCTTTGATGTCTTTTTATTGGTGTCAGAGCCAGTTTAAACACCATTCAAAAGAGCAGATATTTTTGAGCTTTACTACGTGTAGAAGTGATTAATACAGAAGACTGCTCAAGTTTTATAAACAAAATAAATTTTTGTGGACTTAAAGTGTTGCGTTTCGAGCTTATCAAAAATGACATTTATAATTTGGTAATCAAACGCTATTATTGCACTAATCATAGTTATAGGCTTTAACATGGGTTAGTGGTATGGTTTTTACTATAATAGCTCATTGATTGCAGCTAATATACTATAATATAGAACACAATTCTCTTTCTCCTTAATTAATTAAAAGTAATAACTCCTTATTTCTATTCTCTTATTTCCCCTCGCTTATTTATATCGATCTATCACTATCATCTGCTTTAGATCGAGAAAGCTTTCTTGTATTGCAAATGAATTCTTTTTTAAGATCGATCAATTAAAACTAACAGTTACGCCTGTCCACTTGGGGATCTGTTTTCCACTCGTACACCAAAGGAAACTTCTGATCTGGATGAAATTTCAGCTTAAACACTTGTTTTTCTCTCAGTTACACATCGCCATTTACAAGATTTCTACTATATTTCACGAGCTACAAGATGCGATCAATCCAAAAAGACTTGTGCTAGAAAATAGCTGATATAAAATCTATTTGATTTATTTTCTAATTCAAAAATGCTCGA